GCAGTCAGAGATGTTGAAATAAAGGCATTCTTTTTACTGTGTTGTATCTGAAATACACAGACAGTCCCTACAATTCCTCATAGAAAAAAAAAAAAAACCCACCAGAAAAGATTTTAGGCTTTGATGTATAATGGATTTTTAGCCTGTATATAAATTCTTATCTGTATACCTGTTAAAAAAAAAAAAAAAAGATTTTTTTACTACAACTTTTCCTTCCTTCCTAAAAAAATAGCAGAGAAAGAGGCTGTGCCTAACACTGAAGTGCCATTTTTTATTTCATTGACAGTACAGGGGCGTCATGGTACAGTAGTTGTGCTGCATCATTCATCTTCCTAATGCCCTCGGTAACCTTCTTCCAGTAAACTCAGAGAAAGGAGATTTGCTGCAGCCCCATCTAAAAGCTAAAAACATTTCATTTTACAAGATGGTCTTTCAGTGGTCATGAGTTTGTAATGTAACTTTCTTCAAGAGTTCTTTTATTCCAATAATAGATCTGCATTTTGGGCCTACATTTCATTAACAATGAGGTGCAGGTCAGATGACACATTCTCAACCTGAGAATTTCAAATAACACCCAAGAGTGGAATTGCATCCCCTTGAAGGTGGGAGGTAGCAGTGTAGGCAGCTGGAGAGGAGAAGGGAGGAAGAGAAGTGGCGGGAGAAATCACATGAGAGTGACTACATCCATTATTTCCGCAAAAGCTAAACTGTGGTGGCACTTCTGTGTAAACCAATAACTGATGAGGCTACAATAAACACTGAAATTTTGCACAGAATTACATTTAGGATTAGGGAACTGACTGAACAAATCATGTCTCTGTCTTGTGAATGAATTCTCTGTTACCAATTTCAGCTGATTACTCCGACTTTAATATTTCACCTGCAGAGGCTTAGCACATCTTCTATTGCTTGTCATCTTCAACTCCGAGAATGGGTGGGTGACATTGAAATTAATGTGGTACACTCAACCCGTCTGCTTTTTGTGTGCTTCTGCTTAGCTTCCACCAAACGCCATGTCAGTGACAACTTAATGACTGTGGATTTCACAATATTGTGAGAACTTGTTAAACACAAGTATAAAAGCTTATTTATAAAGCAAAACAAAAAGCAGTCAGTAGCTGCATGCAGTTATGTGCATAATAATAAGCGTTTGCATTACCTTTTAGGCTTGCAATAAAATATATTAGTTTGTTTAAATAAGACAAGTGGCCTCTGATTTTCAGGGGAAGTCTTCATTGGTATAATTCCTCTTGAATTGGGAGAATTTTAAAATGTATGCCAAAGAACTCCATCGGTAATGATGTTTTTAGAATATTTCTTTGTAACAAGTTAAGTTTCAGAAGCTTTCTTTTAGCGGTGGCTTCATATCTTCTATAGCTGATAAATGACAGAATCCTTACATTACTCTCAAAATATATTAAGTTAAATTAAGCTTCCAAATAAGAGTGAAGCTTCCGTGTCAGAGAGCTTAAATTTTAAGAGCTGAAATATTTTCCAGTTTAAATACTGAAAAATAAAATTATTTGCCTGTGTGATGGAATTCAAGCAAGGAGAACTTTCTAAGTGCATATTCCCTTTGGCATAGCAGTGAACCCTTTTCTGTTATATACAGATACCAGCATGAGTAACTTCTTCATTTATAAACTGGCCGTAGCTTGGGGTAGTAATTAGAGTTAAACCAACGTTTTCCTTCCTATGTTTCTTATTAATAACCTGTTACTAAAACCCTCGCTGTAAGCGTTAAAGGCAATCAAGTAAGGTGATTGGGTTTTGCATAGTCTATCTCTTAGTCATGCAGGAGTGGCAAATGGGAAAAAGAAATAGGTTTCTGAATACATTAGATTGTAATGCTAAAATCTGGATGTCCAAGTAATCTTTAAAAAGATGAACAAGGCAGATGCAGTGTTACTTGAAACACTTTACATCTTTTTAGTTTGTTCTTTGTTCGCTTAATCTAGCTAAAAGTTTGTTCCTCTTGGTCAGAAGCTTGCTTGCTGGAAGTGTGTGCAGCGTATTTCCAAGTACTACTATCATAATATAGTATTTGCATCGGACTTTATTTTCCTGATGAAGCAGGAGTGTTTTACTAATTAATTTGTTCATTCTGTCTTTCCAGATTACATCAGATATGACTATGTGAATAGCCTAGGATAGCCAAAAGGAAGGACATGATGTCAGAATAGCGTGCAAAACATTTGTGAGGTATGTGGTGGTTTCTCTGGGTTAAAAAATGTCTTTAATACAGATGCCATATCGTGCTGAAGGAGTTGTTTGTAGAGTTGATCTAAATGATGTACATAAACACTGATTTATTTTTTCAGAATCTTCATGTCTCTTTGCATGCAAGATAACTTGCTGATTTTTAGCAGCTGAAAACTTACCTTGGTTGAAATTAATTGTACATTTCTTCTTCTGAGCACTCTAGCTGGATGGAGTTCCAAATTTGTGTTGTATAGGAAGCTTCAAAATTGGGAGGTTGGTCTTGGTTCACAATTCCTATCACAGACGTCAAAACATCTGTGCAGCAGGAGGTTTTGAAGGAGTGGAGTTTCTTTGGTTTAAACAAAAAAATATTACTCACATATTGACTTTTTGTATAAAATACAATTTTCTTTATTTAAAGAATACTAAAAAAGTAGAAAAAGCTACTACTTTTGCCATTGTAAATTTGGTTGAATGTACAGTAAATTTGAGTTAATAAAACCAGAAGTTGGCAATGAAAAAGTATTTTGACAGACTACCAGCGTGTGAATGCACTGTACTTGACTATTTCTGCGGTACTGTCCCTTAGGGTTTTATTACAGGTTTGGCTCTTCAAAGCATTTGTTGGGTAGATTATGTGTATGATAACTTTCCTTGGCTGTCAGCTCTCCACATACTGCAAGGTATAGTTGAGAGTTTAGTGTACCCACTTTTTTTTGTGGGTCCTTTCTTTTGAGACAGAAAAAGGTAGACAAGAACTTTTCTTAAAAGTTTTATATGCCCATTTTTGATGAAATAAAAGCTGGTTTGCCTGGTTATCTTCATGCCCCAGATGTTAGTTATGTACTCTTCCTGAAATGTCACTTTTCTTTTACAAGCCTTGACCACAAGGATTGGTTGATTTCTGAAGTGCTATTGAAAAGAATCGGCAGAGATTGTGATTTTAACTGTAAGCAGTTAGAAAGATTAGAATAACTGCGAGTAGACCCAAAGATACGGCCTTTACTTATCCGTGTTAAGTTTGTATTGCTTTTAAGGGAGATGAATTTTCTTCTTTTCTAAGATATTTTTCTTGTATGTGGCTACCTTAATCCATGGTATAATAGCTGCGTGCTGGTAAGAGAGGTGAAGTTTGCCTAAGAAAAACCCCACAAACCCAAACAAACCAACCAACAACAAAAACCCAAACAAAAACCCCACAAACAAACAAGACAAACCTCAGTGTATGGATAGGAAACACAATGTAACTACTAGAAATTGTGATATTGCATTGCTAGCAACTAGATCCAAGTGCCAGCGCTGTGTTACAGTTTTTTCTGTTTCACAACCGGAGAATGTAGCCCACGCCTAAGTTGTCTCCTATGAATATCTCAGCTAGCTATTTTAACTTGCTCTGGGATCTCTACACTGCGATCTGCATATACTTGTGTTCATTTCTGGTCTCTTGGATTATTTCTGCCTCGTTCTAGCATTATAACTTAAGGATCAGAAAGATTTACTGGGTAGAATGTGTTTATCTGAACTGATTCCTGGTAGATAGGACTGAGAGGTTTTGAAAGGGTTTAAAAATACACAGCGTCACCTGAAAACTAACTCAAATACAAGTCTACCTGGTAAATGGTCACTTTGACCATTTTAGACTATCAGTGTGATCCTACATGCAAGGTCTTGGGATGTAAACTGAAGTACCATAATTTCTAGCAGTCGTATATAGGCTTCCATTAATAAGGGGGAAAACCAGAACCTTCTGGGTGACATCAATCAATATAATGCTTTCCAGTTTATCTTGGACATGGCCTTTAATAGCATGAATCAATATGAGTTTTAGAACACAATATACTTTTAAAGTAGCAGGCTATTCTTGATGCATAATGTTTAAGCTTTAATTTATCTCTAGTTTGTTGGTAACACTTGAGTTCTGCCATTCTGTAGCTTTGCTTGTTAGAAATGTCTGGACAATAATTCTGGTTTTAGGAAAACTATTATGGTTTCAAGTCTTGTTTTTGTTCCATATTGGAACAACAACAAAGCCCTAAAAGAGTTTTCATTACATTAAATTAATTAATGTGTTCTTTCAAAATCTGGTTTGTGTAATCTGTTGCCATGCTGATTTGTTTCACTTAAGTTTGTTCTGATCTGAGACTGTTTTGAAAGTTATCCAATAGATCTTTGTAACAGGTTTGGTTTCTTTTCCAACACAATAGCACTTTTGTCAACAAATTTAGCTGCTTTCAAGCGTGCTCTGTTTTTTGTTGTGAGCAATGTACTAAACCAGCTTTATTTCCATTCTGTTTTTTCCTTCTGCTCTTCCCTGAGTTGCTGGACCCGTATGAAAAGTCAACAGTCTGGTGCCATAATCTGTTGTTTTCTCACAGACATGAGCTGTAATTTAATGAAGACTTTGCTGTTTTATTTTGAGATAAAAGAAAGAGGCTGCATTTTTAACAAAAGGGGAGGAATGGTTTACAGACAAAGCAAGATAGAAATGAAACCATTCTAAAATCCCTTAGTCAAGCATAGTTGCATGGTAAAAAAAAAAAAAAGTTATGTGATGATAAAACTCAGTAAATGGCTAAGAAAATTATTGATGCAACTTTGTAAATTAGTATCTTCTGATTGCAGAAATTATTTGTCTTTATAGAGTCAGAGAATTGTTCAGGTTTTGATCAAAACAAATCTCTGTAATCTGTTTTGAACTTGGATATGTTTTATCTTGCAGAAATAAAAAAGAAAGCCGCCCTATTTCCGGTTTCCTCGTGCATAACAATGGTATCTTTGCTTCCTGCAGGGCAAGGCCAGAAAACCATGCAGTCATCAGGGCACAGATTCCGTGATGTTGAGCACCACCCGCTTCTTGCTGAAAATGACAGCTACGACTCCTCTTCCTCAGAGGCCGACATGGCAGAGAGGGTTTGGTTCATCAGAGATGGCTGTGGTATGGTCTGTGCTATAATGACGTGGCTTCTGGTTGTCTATGCAGACTTCGTAGTGACTTTTGTCATGTTGCTGCCTTCCAAAGACTTTTGGTACTCTGTGATCAACGGTGTTCTCTTTAACTGCTTGGCAGTACTAGCTTTGTCATCGCACCTGAGAACTATGCTAACTGATCCAGTAAGTATGCGATCGTTCCTTGACCTTGGATTGTTCTCTCATGTAGCTCATCATCTGCAGAGAAACTGGGGAGAAGTGATATTGGTTGTTTTCTGCTAGGAAAAGTAGTGATAGATTCAAAACCCCCAGCCTGGAGGGATGGTATCTGTACTTTTCCTGTTGTTCTGTTAATGAAACTGTAAATAATTTTTTACTTGAGGAGCAGACAGTGTAAAATTAATTTAGAAGGGAGAGGTAGGCTCACGAGAAATACAGTTTATTTGTTAAATATTAACCCAGGTTCTGAAGCTGCTAATAAAGCCTTAATCTTTTCTGTCCTAATTTTTCTTACTTTTTTTTGTCAGATGTATTTTCAAAACTTCATAAGAAGCTGTAGCTTCATCCTGTTGTATCATTTGAAATGTATCTTCCATTTCTGGCCCATGAAAGAACTTTTGGAGGTAGACAGGCTGAAAATCCTCAGTCACATCTTGGCAATAAGTTAAGAACTGTTGTCCTACGTGATTCAGGCATTATTGGTTTAGGTATTTGGAGTCAGTGGGAAAGGAGATTGAAGTTGAACCCACATTGGAACAGTGTAGGTATAAGAGGTCTTGAAAGTACTCATTTCTTAAGACTCTTACGCTTCAGTTCAAGAGATGAAATTGTTTATTTTGTACTAAAATCTAGTACTCCTTTCAGGGAATAAATCTAGGGGGAGAGAGTTGAGGGGGAAAAACATCTGTGTTTCTCCAGGCTTTTGAGACGATGACAGCATATATAGAAGTTATGGGGGTGTTCAAAAAAACCATCAGTGTGTTGTAGTTAATGGTTTTCTAGTTCTTTGATTTACTTCCAAGCCCACACCCAGTGATGAAATGTTATGACTTCTGTGGACTGTGGCAGCTAGGAAAGTTACTGGTCTAAGGACAGATTGCTTAAAAATATGTCCCAGTAAAACTGCCTGTCTTTCTTGACCTATGTTGTTCTTTATGGATAAAACGTGATAGAAAGTGAGGTGAATCGGTACCTTTTTTCCTTCACTCCGTTCCTGCTGTCTCCCAGAATGAAGGACATGGCTGTGTGATAGAAATGAAGATTGGAGGAAAAAAGGAATAAACTATCTCAAAACATATGTGAATTAAGTTTACTCATAACTATAAAAATAGATTTTTCATTGAAAGGAATTGGTGACTATCTGAGAGTGTGAAAGAGGTCTTTGAAATAGAACATACTTTTATCAGCAAAATGCTAAAAGCATGGCCTGAAGTTATTGTCCTTAACGACAAAAGAGGTGAATGTGGTATGTGTTTTATAAGCATAAATTTACCTGGAACGAGATAAATTTATGCTTTAGGAGTTCTCTCTGAGATAATTCACCGTGTCTCCACCAGAGTAGATGTCAGTGAGAACATTCATATTGCAAAAAACACACTGCAGCATGGGTGCTGAAGAAACTCTCCCTCAGTTGGCATCCTGCAAAGGCCAGCTGGCTCAGGTTGGAGGCACCGCTCCGCCAAAGAGTTCATCTGGGACAGAGCTTGGGCTCTGTTTCAGGCAGTGCAAACACAAGATTGTTGTTCCAGGCAATAGGCAACAAAAACTTTCTGCCTAAGCGGAGAGGTGTTTTGTAATTGAATCTGAAGTGCCTGCTGGTTTCTTAGTTCTGTCCCCAGAACATCCTTAAGGTGTCTGTACAAAGTGGTGGTGTTTCCAGCGGGCTTTTTCTGAATGAGGAGCAATTACAGAATGTTGCAGGTGATGTAAGCCAACCTGGAGAAGGCTATCCCTGTGGGAAGTCAGTGCTGACTTGGAGGAGCTAGTACAGAAAGGCCATTGCATTTGACATGCGGTTTGTTTCAGTCACTTCTTGTCACAGCTAAGCTTTAGCTCCATGAATAAGCAAGGTGACAGCGGTACCCTCCCATTATTTTCTTCTTACTAATCCACAGTTAGATTCTGATCTTGCAAGGCTCTAGATTAATAGTTACTGGAAGAAGTAATCCTGCTTTCTATTCCTGTCCATTTATTATCTTCCTCCTAGTGTTGGAACAGCTGCTAATGCAGCTCTGTGGTGGACAGCTCAGAGAACTAATCACTAAAACATAATTTCCCTTCCCGATGGGTTATTTTTCTTCTGGATCAGTTCCTTCAGCTGTTTACCATGTAGCTACGCAAGCTTTCACAGTAGCAGAAAGCAGCAGCGGGATGCTAAGTGTAGGATAAAGAAGCCACTGGTGGTTCATGCTGGCAGTGTCCAAGCTGAAAGCTGAAGTATAAAGAAAGAGAGGATGACTGTTCTCAAAAAACTTGCATACACAGGGCGGGTGGCTAAGTCTTGGATTCAGAGTGTTGAAATAACATCTTTCCCGGAGTTGTTGTTGATTTAACGTTTGTGGATAGGTTGGCCTAGGAATCGAACGTCAAAACAATTAACATACGCCGCTGTAAGAAAGCATGTCTTAAAAGTGCTGGTTCGGGGTAACTTCTCAGCAAACATTGCAGCTGTAGTGCTTGTATCTGCATGTGAATGCAGATACATTGGAGTGCTGCGTCCAGCTGTGGAGCCCTCAACATCAGAAGGATATTGGCCACTTGGAGCGAGTCCAGAGGAGGCCACGAAGATGCTCCGAGGGCTGGAGCACCTCTGCTATGGGGACAGGCTGAGAGAATGGGGAGTGTTCAGCCGGGAGAAGAGAAGGCTCCAGGGAGACCTTATGGCACCTTCCAGTACCTGAAGGGGGCTACAGGGAAGCTGGGAGGAGACTTTTTACAAGGGCCTGTAGCGACAAGACAAGGGGTAACGGGTTTAAATTCACAGTGGGGAGGTTTAGATTGGATATCAGGCAGTTCTTCCTGGAGAGAGTGGAGATGCACTGGCACAGGTTGTCCAGAGAAGCTGTGGATGCCCCATCCCTGGCAGTGTTCAAGGGCAGGCTGGATGAGGCTTGGAGCAACTTGGCCTAGTGGAAGGTGTCCCTGCCCATGGCAGGGGGGGGGGCTGGATGATCTTTAAGGGCCCTTCCAACCCAAACCATTCTATGAAGATGTCCTTCTCTTCATTTTATATATGTTGGTGAGAGCAGATTCTATCAGAATTATGCTAATACTTGGTGACAGAGGAGTCTTGCTGAAATGAAACTGAATTGGAGGTCAAGCAGAGGTAATTTATTCATTTGGAAATTATTCTGGCTTCATGCTTTGAGTAAATGAACTTATTTCAGCAATTACCCTGAGATTACTGGTATGAAGTCTATAAAACGTATTTTTAAACTCTCTCATGCCATTTAAGAAACTTTCTCTCCTTTAACTGAAATTATTTCAGGGGGCTGTACCCAAAGGAAATGCCACTAAAGAATACATGGATAATTTGCAACTGAAACCAGGAGAAGTGATTTACAAATGTCCGAAGTGCTGTAGTATCAAACCTGAACGTGCACACCATTGCAGGTATGCTGTCGCTTTCTTCAAAGCCTACTGAGTCTTGGAATAATGTTCCTGACAGTTATGGGTTAATTTTTTTCCCCCCCAAATTTGTTTTGGTACCCAGTGAACTTTCAGATTCATACATTGTGGAGTATTTTATAAACACAATCTACTGTGGCCAAAAATGGATGTGGATGAGGGGAAAGAAGCAAGAGACGAATTTTAAAAAATAATCATACTGTGGTGTCTTAAATACTTTTTCATCTGTGAATATTTTTTTCCTGCACATCGTCCTAATTATCGTGCCCTATGCAGGGCAAAGGGAAGAATCTCAAGAAAGTTTCTGAGAGAAGCTGATTTAAGAAATGACTCCTGCAGTCTTAAATTAAAAAAATACAGATTAGCTTTAAAGGATGACTTCAGTTTGTGCCTTCTTGTCTTCGTAGCGCATCGTTTGCTTTTGAATGGGCAGCTTATTTTCCCACAGTTGTATGTGTGATTAGTTCAATGCACTTCTGCTTATTGAAAATTCATTTTAAGAAGGACAGAAATGATGTAATTTGACTCTAACGTGCTATGGAAGAGATAGTAAATGTATGCAGTTTTAATTAAACCTCAGCCTTTTAAGTTTTCAGGCACTGTGGATATGCATTCACAGTGTTTATTGTGTGAGAGTTGAAAATAGATCTGCCTGCATAATTAAGACTTACATAAATATGCAAATGTTCCTGGCGGCTCTGGCTAGGTGTGAGGAGTGCTGTGTATTGCATTGTGCGGTGTGTTAAATATAAGTCTCTGAGTTAGTGCCCGTCAAAAGAGCAGAGTGAAGTCTTCTTGTCGGGACTCTCAAACAATTCTGTAAATTTGAGGTTTCTAAATTAAATGCCTCAGTGTTTGTCACTTGCCTGTGTGAAAGTTATGGCTGAGCAGGTATTGTCATTGTACGTACTCTGCCGTGGCACTGAAATCTTGTTCTTCCCTCAGATGTGAGTGGGTTTTTGCGTCTGGAGTGTGAAGGGAAAGGTTTCACGTATAATTAGTCAAGTACAGAATTACCTTCAGTTTATCTGTCGTAGGGTAGCTTTGCATGGGTGCAGATACCAGCCCTGCCCACGCGTGCAGTGAGGTTTCTGCCGGGCGTTGGTAGCTCTGGTCAAGCGTAGATGAACGCAGCTCTGCCGGTTGCCCCACAGGCCCGCGGGTGGAAGCAGTGCAGCTGCTTCCTTGGGCCAGAATAGAAGTGGTGAGTCTCTGGGGATCCAAACCAGCTTTGTGCAGTCTGTCCTGGCACTGTGTTCATGGGGTGTGGTGAAGGGACACCCAAGAGTCTCTGCTGAGTGTAGGTTGGATCTTGCTGATCATCTCATCTCGGATTTAGGCTGCCTCTTCCAGAGACTTTGCAGGTATCTTTGTAAAGTGTTTCCCACGGATTTGGTCCTGATAGGATTTACAAATTTGGAGGTAGCCCTAAATGAAGGCATCTTATGTTAAACTTGAGATAGGAGTAAAGAAGCTGGAGCACTGGGGAGCCTGGAGTCGCTGCAGCTGTGTGCCCTGCAGTCACACATCTGGGCCATTCACTCACCAGGGAACCAGTCCTAGGTTCAGGCACATGGCTTGACGTCTTGTGAGTGGTTTTACTTTTCTTTGCCTTGGGAAAATGCGCCGTGATGTTCCACATAAGGGCAGAGGATGGATTTTAATGCACTGTGCATAACTGACTTCACAGAACATCTGAAAGTCAGAGTCTGAAAGCTTGTTTCATCCTTTTGTAAGCCTGCTGTCATGTTTTTCTCGGCAGTGGGAGATACGTTTAATTGTCTTTGTTTCTGTTACTCATAAAATATGTGCTCCTAGTAGTTGCCTTTAACTTTTTGCAGGTAAACCAAAGGATTTGTTTTGTGATTTCTTGAATGTTGAACACCTACTGCATAGGAAGGTAAATGGGTTGGAAGCCAGCTACCAGAATCTGATTCTATGCCATAGATTTAACTCTGCAGAAGTGTACTGAATAGAATCAAGGGTTGGTTTGATTATACTGCCAACATTTTATTGGCTTACAAACCTGTTCCAAGGACATTGAAAGGATGGTCTAGTCCCAAGAAGTCAAAGTGGGAATTTGCTGATAGAAGAGACTTAAAAATGGAAATTGAAGTTGGTTGCTGTTGGGAAATAGTTACACTCAAAGCCACAGTGCATGTTTGGCGTAGTAAATTATTAACAGAAGAGGCTCTTATGATGTAGTTATGAAAATTGTTGTGCAACACTGCAGCAGAAGTTCTTTTGAGGAAGAAAAAGTTTCATAATACACATTAGTAATGGGAAAAAGAACAAGAAACCTTTTATTTACAGGTGAAAATACATTAAACAGATTTTAGTAAGCAGTTAACATTTTCAGCACAAGGAAGAGGCTTATTCTGGGTGAATGCTAATTTATTTTCACTGGAGTGCAGCTGTCCTTATTTTTGGCCTGTGTTTGTGTGGGGGAACCTGTTATCCAGCGTGAGGTCACTGAGATGTTTGCATCAGTCTGCCTGTGACTTTCTGTTATCCAGACCAGTTTCTTTAAAGCCATTGGCTGTGTCTTCCCAAATGTTACCTTTGGCATTCCAAACTGCAATTGCACCTGCAGTGTCCTGAGTGCATTCAGCAGCAGAGCCAAGCTGGAGAGGACCTTCCCTTGTCCACAGCTGCTTGTTCTCACTACCATATTACTACTTCCCTGTGTACAATGTGTGAGTGTTCATACGCAGGGAAATGACCCAGATTGCAGGTAATGGAGTGACATCCCCAGACTCCTGCTGCATGAACGGTGCTCGGGCAAAGGAAGGAGTAGAATACAAGTGGTGGAGGTAGGAAGAAGGCAAACCCACTGTTTTCAGCATTGCAGCGAGTTTGTTGGCTGGAAGTGTTCGTTGAATCGTGGTGTGAGTTTAGAAATGAAGGCAGGGTTCCAGACATCTGATGTCTTGGAGAGCTCTGCGTGGGCTGGTGAGAAATACTGAATGAGCAAAAGTGTGTCCTGCCCACCTCACATCCTCCAGCGTTGGCTTGTGTGAGTCTGGATGTGATTTTACCCAGTGCTTCACATTAATACTCTTTTTAGGGTGACAGTGTGTATTCTGTCTTGCACTGGGAGGCTTGCATGGTTGTGGTGACTGGAGTTGGCTAACCTTCCCACAGAGCTCGGGAATTTTAATGGAAGGCTGAACTTAGAGGCAGCAGGCTGTGAAAGGAAAAATCTCTGCTCTTGAATGGTACCTGCTTCTTCTGCACCTCCGAATGGTTGCGTGTTTAGGCATGACATCGGGATTTTCAGGTGTAACTGGCAGTATTTTAAGTGGTTTGCATCAGAGCATGAATTGTCTTTTACCTTATTAAGCAAGCATATGTTGATGACTTAATTATTTTACACCTCAGAGCATTGGTTTCCCACGAACACACCCCCTTGTTCACGCTAGTGGCAGTCACGCCGCTTTACTTCACTCACAGATACCGGACGTAAATAAGCATGCGTTAGGAACCTGAAAGTCTGTGAAGAGCAGTGCCTGCCGTTTTTAGGCTTATTTGGCTCTGTAACTGCTGACAGGAAAATGCTTAATGTTTTGGGCGTTCTGCAGGAAAATCTGAAACGCTTCGAGCGTGTGGCTGTCTGAAGTACAGAGCTCGGAAGATGAAATAGAGGCATTATTTACGGAAGAACTTCATCACATGTTGCAACTCTGCTGTTTCTTGGGTGTAACTGTTCATGTTTTGCTGCAGATGGACCCAAACAGAAGAGAAATAAGCCCTTTTTCGTGCTGTATGTCCTCGCAGCTGTAAAATGGACTTTCTGAAATATTTAACTTTTCTTTCTGGAAATAACCTTGACCCAAAACTGGGCAGAAACGAAGTAATTGCTTGCAGAACTAGCAAGAACAGCAATGATAAAGTGTTCATTTACAAGTAGGCAAACAATGTGTGCTGCTTATGGTTCCGATATTTTTGTTTTATGTTGAGGAAGCGAGGTGTGACATTGTTCTTTCAGTTAAGATTTTGCTGGTGTACATTTAGAGTTGTATGGCCAGTTGACACCTCAGGAGTGATGGTTTCTCTTGTGAGGATGTGAATTTCTCCTTTTTTTTTTTCTGACTCACAAAGTAAATTTACAACTTGAAAGTCTGTAAACTTGAAATAATTACTTTAGATTAAAAAAAGCTTCTCCGGAAAGGAAGTTGGGTTTTTTAATACTGAATGAAGAAGGAACTGGAGCTTTGCTCGTTCAGTGCCATGAGTGTCCAAAACAAGTTACCGGGTTCGCTTGATTATGTGCTTGGATGTTCAAGGATTCTCTTACTAATCCCGTTTTTCTTATGTGAAGAGTGTCTTACCCACATGGTTTTATAACAAGCAAAAGCTGAGCTGTAAACGAGTAAATGAAACACTGCAGGTTTTCAAGAAAGTACACTTCAGCACATCATCTCACGACCACCGGATGCCCTTGTTTCCACAGTAAAATGTGAAGTATTGTTCCTTAACAAAAATCTGTTTCCCTTTCCGTTAGTATTTGCAAACGATGTATTCGAAAGATGGATCACCACTGTCCGTGGGTGAATAATTGCGTTGGGGAGAAAAATCAGCGATTTTTTGTTCTGTTTACGGTAAGCGAAAATCAAAAGCAGCTTGATCACAGTGTGAATGTACCTTGATTATAACCATTTTGGTTGTGCTTAGTAGTCAGTAATGGCTTAAGGGCACAATTGGTATGTGGTGCTGGGTTTTTTTTTCCTTCTATGCAAGCAGGGAGATGTTTCTACTCATTTTAATCTTGTAATGTGCTGTTATTTTAAACTATGTTAATTTTGCTCTGGTTTATGTAGTAACGATTAGTGAAACGGTACTGTGATTTAGGGAGCTAGTCCTTAAACTTCCGTTGTTGCCCACATTTTTAGATTCAAACTTAATTACAGTTTGTTTTTACATCATTATGTTGAATCAAAAATCTAGATAGGGAAATATATTCAGCATGCAGAGGTGAAGGCTGGCCGAAAGGAACGTCTGGCAGCAGTCAAAACTAATCGCTCTCTCTTATTTCCAGATGTATATAGCCCTGATCTCAGCTCACGCGCTCATACTGTGTGGGTTTCAGTTTTTCTCCTGTGTCCGAGGGCAGTGGACTGGTAAGCAAATACTTCACTTTCGCTGTTGGACTGTAGCAGATATTTTGGGGAGGTGATAGCATTCCACCTACTTCAGTCCCCTGTATGAAATACTGCAGGGCTTCGACCTTTTTTTAAAGTGACATCCCGAAAATGCTTCCTACCTGTTTACCCATCTGTCTCTTCCTTCAGTCATTCACTGTGTGAGCTGTGGCTGTCGAGGCATTCTCACTCCCTTTCCTCACAGTGAACATTTAGCACTGCTGTATATTATTTCGCCTCCTACAAAGCACACGATGCTGCATAACTGCAATTGTGCCTCAGTATTTCGGGGATATCAAAAAGTGTTACTTCCTTAAAATTCTTTATCCCCTTCGGCAGCAAATAAAGCTGCTGCGGTGCTAGAAATTGGAAGTTTGTTATAAGTGCGAAATGTTGTTTCAGGTGTCAGGTGTTTAGGTTTTAGCGCAGAGAGGAATGTCTTGGTATCAGCCTGCTCTATAGATGTTTAACCATTTTTCTTATAACTACATTTGTTGTTTTCACAGAATGCAGTGACTTCTCCCCACCTGTAACTGTGATCCTGATGATCTTCTTGTGCCTTGAGGGTTTTCTGTTTCTCACTTTCACTGCAGTCATGTTTGGCACCCAAATCCACTCGATATGCAACGATGAAACGGTAAAGGCCTCTGCTTGTGTATACGGTAACAGCTGTTCTGGGAAGATGCCACCAGATGTCGGTTTATTTGCATCAGGCGAGGCTCTTATTTTGGGGAAAACCCCAGATCTGAAATAACTCCTCATTTTTATTTTCTACGGTTGTAAGGGTTGACGTAGTCTTTTGGGGGTTGCTCTCTGATGGAAGCTCTTGCATTATTTGCTTTTCTGATTAGGTTTTCGATTACAAAGATTGCACGGTTTAGACTTCTGTGATTCTCAACGGCCGCAAACTCCTGAGCGTTTTGTGAGAAATTACGCTGTTCTCAGGTTTGCACTTCAGCTGGCGATCTTGTGTCAACCCCTGACGCTTCCCTTTGGCAAACGTCAGTAGAGTGTAACCGTAGTTCGGACGTTTGGCTGCCTTGCCCTTCGATCTGCAGTGCTGAGGCTGCTTTATGGTGGATAATTGACTGGAAACGTAAGAGTTGAGTCTTGTGGCTGTTCAGAATCTTCTCATGTGAGGCTGTTAAAAAGTGCACTGTGCTGAAGAGTGAGAAACCGCTGGTAATTATCCAGCCTTCCTTAGTGGGAAGTACAAAAGCTGATTGTCAAAATAATGCGTTTGGGGGAATAAGCCCGGCTTCACGAATGGCAGTACCAGCGCCGCCGTGGAACCTTATTGTCTGGTTTCATTACACTACAAGTTGTTTACTCAGTGTAGGTATCTTGTGTGCACGTCCTCGCCTTGAACATCAGCTTTCCTGGTCATTTTGTCTCTTAGTTTCAGGAGGGTAGTGACAGACTAAACTTCTCGCACCTGTTGCATGTGCTAAGCCTTCTGCCCTGCACGTGCAGGGCTCAGTCAGCTGTTCCTATTTCTTCCTTACTGAATAAATAACAATAAGAAACGAGTCAGCTCATTAGCTTACGTTAAAAGAATGCAAATAGTCGTCAGGTTTGATAACTGCTCCTAGACTGACTGAATTTTGGACTTCACAGTGTGTCACTCTGTTTGTATACAGGAGATCGAAAGGCTGAAGAGCGAAAAGCCAACGTGGGAGCGGAGACTGCGTTGGGAAGGAATGAAATCCGTTTTTGGGGGCCAGCCTTCACTCCTGTGGATTAATCCTTTTGCAGGATTTCGAATCAGGCGACTTCTGCTGAGAGCGAAGAAAGGAGGACCCGAGTTTTCTGTTTGAGGCTCATTACGCTGGAACTGCAAGAGTACTATATAATATTTATTTGGGGCCAGAGAAGGCTGACACATCTAATCTGTGACCAGGTGAAACTGATATCAGACATTTGCTTGTAGCAAGCAGAGTTTTATATGTTTATCGTCACAGACATCTCATTAACCGTCAGAGACGCCAACTGGATCTGTAATGGTCTTGACAGCAAGATAACAACGGAAAAGCACGTGGTCACACTAAAGAAGCCAAATGTCATGCTACTGTAATTTATTTTATGAGATTAATTAATCCCTTTTTGTTAAACCCTTTTTATTTGATGAATGTTTGGGGAATTACCTGTGTGTTTTTATAAGAAGTATATACTTAGGTGCAGTTGTCAATCATAAGGAGGAGCATTATGGTGAAAGTTGATCTCGTATGAGACCTAGCCTTCTAAATCCAGTTTTCAGGGAATAGTGGTTTGTTCTGTTTAGTTTCTGTTTCAGCTTGTCCTGGCAGACAGAGCTGTACTCCCATGTCCCACTTCAGACACACATTCCTCGTATGCAAGCGATGCAAAGGACTGGTGCACACAACAGCCCAACACGTCACAAGCACTGTTACACCCCTGCCAGATGTCTTCCCAGGCTCCCGGAGGCATGTCTTGTCTTTGCCAGTATGAATCCCGTAGGGCATTTAGGTCAGCTGTAGATCTTCAGCAAACACCACTTCTGAGTAACGGCCGAGGGCCGTATTCTGCCCTCGGATATGCGTCTCCAGTTCTTAAGGCATCGATTCTAGAGGAACTTGAAGGTAGGTGTTTGGGGATCGTATCTAGTCCTCGGGGCAGGGGTAAGCGGGACCAGTGACTGCGTCCTTCTGTGTGAGATTAAAATGAATGTACTGCAGGTTGCGGTTAATTGACTGAAAACTTGTCTCTTTAAGGTCTTGCTCTGCCCCTTTTTTTTTTTTATGGTACAGACTTTTCACGGAAGGAAAGCTGTCAATAAACCCCTGAACCAAGACACAGAGGAGTGAGGGAGATTGCCTCTTTCTCAAGGGCAGCAGATCTTAAACCTAGAAAGATTTGCAATAGAAGTAACTATTTTGTATTTAACCGCTTTCCAACCAAAACTACTTTGGAGGAATTAGAGCAATATAGATCTAGAACTGCTTTAAGTGGGCCTGACAAACGACAGCAGTGCTGAGAAGTGTTTATGAATCTGGAAGCAATGACATAGAAGCTGCAAGTAATGGAATTCAGCTAAAAGTGGATTCTTTAAAAATTACATTTAGACTCTTTTTTGGATCATCGTTACTCTGTTGTAGAAATTACTGACAGTATGAAAGACAAAGCAGGAGCCTCGATGCATAGCTTGAAATCGTGCCTAGAAAGTAAATAGCTCCCTGTTCTGGGACTTGCCTTAAAATTGTCCTGTTCTTGCTTTCGCTTTGCCGGCAGCACTGCGGATGTGTCCCACCTCAAGCGGTTCACGCGCTGAAGGATCTTGCGTTGCAGAGGTCACGGGCCGCAGCAGCTCTCCTTGCTTTTTTCAGTGACCTGCTTCTCCATTTCCCTGTAGCTGTTCGTGGCATCTTGATTCCAGCTTCATCAGGTTTTTGTACCATTGGGTGGGTGAAATTACCGAGGGATCCCCTTCCTGTCTGCGGCCCCGCGAACGGAACGGTGCAATGCTCCGTGGGGGGATGATGCGTGACGCTGGGCACGCCCCAGGCGGACACATCCAGGGAGACCGCTGTCAGATGAACAAAACTGTCTTGTGGAGCTGAGGGGAAAGGCAGAAGTTCCACAGGAATCTTTGCATATTCAGTTGCACGGAATAGAGATTGGGGAAAAAACGTGTCTGGCTTTGTCATGAGGCTCTTAATGTGTATATTGTTGAATAAAATATCCTGATGAAAATCAGAAAATATCACTTCAAGCGGTTGAACCCAGTGACTTAGCAAGTGTGTGAGTGTGTGAAATGAGGTTTACTTGGCTTTTCCAGCCCTTGTTACCTTGTAATTTTTTTAATGTTAAAAAAAATAAAGTAATGATTGAAGTCATAGTTGATTAACTTCTGCTGCGTATGTTGCACGTGTACGTGAGGACATCGGTCTGTGTGCCTATTCACGTCTGTGTTCCAGCAGCTTCAGGGTAAGGGTCTCAGCCTCCTTTGGCTTCTGACGGGTGTGCGTCGGAGGCCGCTGCTCGCGCAGGTGCCGCCCGCTCAGCGGCTCTCGGGCGTTTCCTTGTCCGCGGCGGCTGGGAACCTGCGTGGCCGAGGGGAGCGGGAGAACACGCGGCGAATGCTGCCCACGGGGGAGCCCTGAGGAGGGCTGTGCCCCC